CCCTAGACTTGGGAACGGCGGAGGATAGGTGAGTTATAAAGAGAAGGAATATCAATTTAAACCAGAAAAGACTAAAACACATCTTTGACTAGATCTATGAATGGATCTACTGCTGGGTTGGACAGTACTTGCTTTTTAGGCAAAACAATGAATGATGCAATGTAAAGCTGGTAATGTAACATACATGATATGAATTACATATTGTTAATCATAGAAGTCATGGATAATGCAATCATGGCTAAGTTTACTTCACTCTGCAGAACAAATTGCCCTTATATCAGATTTAGAAATCATACAGTGTCGTGCTCTCTTATCTGTCAGTGTTTGATTTTGCAAAGAGACATATGTCTGTTTATCCAAAGCGAACAGAGATGCCTCGTACGTGTGTGAACAATGTAGATAACTTCTGTTATATTTGTGGTGAAGTGACGTTTACATCACAAACACGCAGTTTAACCTCCATGCTTAAGAAATCCTTTCACCTTTATTTTGGCTGCAAAATTAGAGATAGGGACAAGAGGTGGGCCCCACACATATACTGCAACACTTGTGCAAAAAAGCTACGCCGTTGATTGAACAGGAAAAGGAAATTTATGCCTTTTGCAGATGTCATTGATTTGGAGACAGGCAACAGATCATATCAGCAAATGTTACGTCTGCATGATGCCTCCTGTTGGAAAATATGTGTGTGAAAGAAGAAAAAGAGGAATGTTCATTATGCAAACATTCCATCAGCCATATGCTCAATACCCTACAGAGAAGGTTTGCAGGTTCCTGATGCACCATAATCATTCCCATTTGCTTCAGACATGTAAGAGGAAGACGATGAAACTTTTAGTCCTGTATCATCAATGTCACACGTGACTACCCATATTTTCTCCCATCCATCTCCTCTGAACCACACCTCATAACACTCGGTGAACTGAATGACATTGTCATGGATTTGGAACTTCAGCAGTGCAATCTCCTCGCAGGTTATGTTAGGGTTTTCATGTTCCGTAACCGTCCAAAGAATCTTGTCCTATTAGTCTCATCAAGGGTGATTGTCTTTCCTGAACACTTGCATGCTGTCTTGCTATGTTCAGCAAAGCAGCATAATGAATCAGATCAATGTTATTGCATAAAAAGTTTGGAGGGCTTCAAAGACCGGCTCAATGAATGAAAACCTGATTTCATGCACTGTGCTCTATTTTTTCTACGTTCAGATGTGCCTTTCTTCATCCATAGTTTGCCCTTTAATTTGTCTTACCAATGGCATGAATACATAGGTGTCACGTGCTGATATATTTGTCACTTGTGTGCATACCATGTATAACAAGCTTTATATATGTCGCCATCATTTAAAACGATGGTTTGACCCTAGACATAAGTGTTAAAGCTTTCTTGGCCAAGTTCCTGAGCAGTCAGAAGAGATTTCCGAACACCACTAGTTGACAAAATTCGTAGTAGCAATGTTCTGGGGGTATGCTCACAGGGCATATTTGGAGCAAACACGACGAATTCCCGTATAAATGACACAGTGTTGTTTTCGTCGTCGTTGTCCCGTTTCATTTTAGCTGGATGGGTTTCATTGTGAACCATTTGTTCATAATGCCTAATCACAAACAGTGTCTTCGGTTTGGCTTCAAAGCAGGTCCAAAGGTTGTATGATATCTACATTCGGTTTGGCTGCAAAGCATGTCCAAAGGTTGTATGATATCTACATTCGGTTTGGCTGCAAAGCATGTCCAAAGGTTGTATGATATCTACATTCGGTTTGGCTGCAAAGCATGTCCAAAGGTTGTAAGATATCTAGAGCTGAATCAATAATCTTTATATTTTGTGCTGAGAAGTGAACAAATTGACTATGCACCAGGGTATGTAGACCTACAGTCATAGTCATGCTACCCAAAATGGCAATGACCAATGCTGTGTCCATCTAGGAGGACATCACTGTAACTAAGAGAAGATAATACGTCTTGGAAACAATTTTGAGTCAGCCCCTCTCACCCTGCAAAACTTAAAATACTCATAACGTTTCTACTATGTAACACAATTTTGTTGCAGGGTAGTAAGTATTTTCAGGAAATTGCTTATGCCTAAAAATATAGCAAATGGCTATTATTCCCCACATACTTAGCTTCCGCTAACAGGGCAACTATTATTTTATTTTCCAATGAAAAAACAGGCGATTTTGTGCCTTTTCGTTCACATATGTAGCACAATTTTGTTGCAGGGTAGTAAGTATTTTCAGGAAATTGCTTATGCCTAAAAATATAGCAAATGGCTATTATTCCCCACATACTTAGCTTCCGCTAACAGGGCAACTATTATTTTATTTTCCAATGAAAAAACAGGCGATTTTGTGCCTTTTCGTTCGCATATGTAGCACAATTTTGTTACAGGGTAGTAAGTATTTTCAGGAAATTGCTTATGCCTAAAAATATAGAAAATGGCTATTATGCCCCACATACTTAGCTTCCGCTAACAGGGCAACTATTATTTTATTTTCCAATGAAAAAACAGGCGATTTTGTGCCTTTTCGTTCACATAAAGTTAAAAAAACAACATATGAATCAAACTTAATACGTATTTATACTAAAGTAAAAAAAAATGACCACAAAAGATTTAGAAGTGGGTCGGGTTTTTTTCTTCGAGATTCACGATTATACTGTAAATCACTTTAACGAATCAGACCCCAAATGTAGTCTTCCATCATATTCTTGTTATACTGTCCTTGGTAGCGGCTTTTTAAGTCCAGTATAACCATGTGGAAGCGCTCACCTTTCCTCTTTGAGTACGTTCCCATGTTATCCTTGAATTTATCAAAATGAGCATTAGGGATATGAACTTCGCAAGACATCGTAAAGCCCATTGTATCGTATTTTTTTTTAACCAGAGTTTCAACTAGCTCCACATAGTATTCGACTTTGTGATTGCCCAGGAAGCCCCGAACCACTGTGACAAAGCTGTTACAAGCCGCTTTCACCCTACTAGTGAGCTTCTTAGGGAATTTGTGACACCGGATTCGACCTTTTCCTCAGACAGCTTAGGGAAGAAGTTTTAAAGGTACTTGAAGGCTTCCGATTCCTTATCTAGAGCTCTGACAAATTGTTTCATGAGGTCCAATTTGATGTGCAGTGGTGGCATCAGTACCTTCCAGGGGTCTAACAGTGGCTCCCATTTGATGTTTTTCTTCCTCACAGAAAACTAGGTCCGCTGTGGCCCGTCACACCAGTGGTAGTGCACCTTGATGTCCCTGCTGTCTCAGAGGCAAAGAGCAGGAAAACCGCCTTGGAGACCCATCAGAAATGCCACAAATTTGAAGTTTCCGATGAGCTCCCCGCCGTACTCATCATACTTCAAGGCGTCCAGCAAAGTCTTGATGCTGTTGTAACCCTCTTTGAGGTGCAATGAGTGAGCCAGGGGAAGAGAAGCTCCTGGATGAAATGTCAATGGAGAAGCTCCATTCATTCTGGTTACAGGCGATTCCGATTGCATCAAATAGTCTGGTCACATTGTGGCAGAACTCGGCGACACTTTCTCTGATCTGCGACTTGCACACTTTCATCCAGCAAGGTCCTCTGCTTGAGCCTAGACGTCATAAGCTCGGCATTGGACTTGGTGAGACCAAGGTCTCTAATCAAGTCGTTGAGGTCTTTTCGTTGGGGTAGCATAGATTTGTGTCCTCAGTCTCACCTCTGAAAATGTCATCTGGATCCACAACGTCCTCTTCCCCTCCGACTTGCTGCCATCTTCTCTGCCCTCTCTCTCCGGAGGAGGAGGAGTGGGTACGGGGAGCTCAGGGCAGAGTTGCACAGAGGCGATGCATGAAGGAATGTCCCGATTCGTGATAGCAGATGCACTCATGCCAGTCCGAAGTTTTGAAGGGTCCATCATGCAGAATCAGCAGTTGCTTGGGTGGACAGTGCGTTCCCACCAAATTCTTGGGATACCGAACTTCATCGCTCTCGTTTCCCTTCTGTACCATCATACAAATATACATGTTGTTGACTTAAACACAAATTAATCACTTAGAGAAGCCGAACGAAATAATATGTCAGTGACTTTGCAATTATCCAAATAAGAGATGTTGCAATTGCAAAAGACCATGGGATATGCTGTACCAGTTGGTTGCAAAAGCAGTGGCATTAGCAGCCGTCAAAGTGGCATGAGGAACGGTTTTAAAAAAGGCGGTCTGGGTCTACGACTTAAAAAGGAAACGACCTTTGATTATCTTGAACAAGTCGTCAGATGCCATAAGGAAGCAATAAATATTCAGTTATCCGGTACAACATGTAGAAGACCACGCATCCATTAACCAGTCTTCATTTACTCAAGATGGTCAAATTAATCAATCATTTTCGAGGTGTATTGTACAAAATGAACATGTATTGACGGTGGAACACACACGTGACATAAGTATTGTTTGCATGAATTTGACAACAGGAATGTTCACCAATATTGCAAACACTTATGGATTTTACAATAAAGTACGTTAAATGTTATACAAAACTCATATTAAAATTTACGTTCGTTACTGGTCTAGACGCGGTGCCTATGTAAATCTAAGCAAGCATGCTAATAAAATAGCAATGAACCAATTTAATATTTGTGTTGTTATTGAAATTGACCCTGATGAATTTGTGAATTTTAAAGACTTGACTGGTAAAATGTTGATATTTAAGATATTCTTATCAGACTGAGAAATATTGCTACAAACAATTTAGCCATTATTAATGAAGTTGGATGTGTGTGTGTGTGTGTGTGTGTGTGTGTGTGTGTGTTATTTAGATTTTTAACTTAGCTTTAAAAAAATTTCAGTCATATCGCTACTATGTCTGCCGTGTGACAGTTTATATTGATGTCTAGCACTGGGGCATCATGTCGTAGATATGTGGCATGATGTCCCACCCAGTCACATTATCCTGACACCAGGCGATCCAGTCCTAACACTAACCTCCTAATTCTGAGCGCCAAGCGAGGCAGCTGTTAGTACCATTTTTAATAGTCTTTGGTATGGCTCGGCCGGGGTTCGAACCGACGACTTCAAGCATCCGAGACGGACGCTTTAACCACTAGGCCACAGGAGCGGTTTGAATTTGGAGGAATCAAATACTCGGATAAGTCGCTTTTGTTTATGAAAGTATATGTCGACAATCTCAATGCTGCAAGACAAAAATAATACGTGGATTAACAAATCATAAATGTGCCACCACTACCATCAACACGACAACCACGTGTAACAAGTTAATTTATAAAATACATAGAACTGTTTGTCAACGAAGGAGAGAAAAAATACGAAGACATAATAAATGGTCCAATTGATATTCCTGACGCGAATTATTTTATAAACCTAAGCCTTACACAATAATAGTGCACAAATCCGGATCTATTTATTTATTACATCGGGTTATTATAGAGGGTGGGGTAATTTAATAAGACTGATCATCCTGATTAACAAGTAATAACACGTAAAGAACTTGAATCCAATCTTGCACAATCTGTTAAATGTCCGACAGCAATATTGATGGTTGTAGAGACATTCAGTTTGTTAGAGACATTCAGTTGGAAGCATTTCACATTTTCCCACTCGGGTATGTAACCAGTTTGTGTGTTTAGCATCGAATTTGTAATTGCATATAAATAATGCATTTTTACTTGCTAAGATTGATGAATATTTGCTTTAAAGCGGCGTTAACAAACCTTCGTATACATAGAAATATAATTTTGTTCAGGCCCAAATAGAAACTGACAGTTGAGAACGCCCTGACTTTTCAATATCAACTACAGGTCTCCTTGGTGTTATAACATAAGCACGACCCCCTCCCCCAATATTTGATTCTCCACCAAGTACGAAAATACTCAGGGATTGTTTTTTCAAAGACGAAGTGGAATTCACAGATGAACGAATATATTAAACTATCATTGATTCAGTTGAGACAAAAGAGATCTAGACTGTTATTAAGGAATGGCACACTTGTTCATGCAATAGTTTTTGGGCGAACTTGAGAACGATCGTTTTAAACATCATTTAGTAGTGTAATCGGTATGGTTTTAAATGAAAATGCGCCAGGTCTCAAGAACGCACAATCGACAGACATTTAAATATTTCCCAAGTATATTTTCGATGATTGTATGACAGATGTACCTTCAAAACAAAGGGGCAATTGGTTAGAAGACGTGCACGTGTTGCACCTGATTCTGGGTGGCCAGTTATTCAATTGTACTATCCAATTACATTATTAGTAGAAGAACTGTGTTGGACATTAAATGCTTTCGACGTGAAATAATGATCCAACTAGGTTAACAACCGGAAAATGAAATCACCAAGTGAACAACGTTAATCATTAAATATAAATTAAATATAAATGTGTATATGTTGTCACCATTGCTATTTGTGAAATAACCGCTATATTAACTGTTGGTCATGGTGTCGAGGAATCAGAGCCGCATCAAACTGTATTTGGTTTAAATTGAACTTAGATTAATTAGCATGACCAAATTCGTAACTGTGTTGATGGAACTGGAAAATAACCGACAACCCTGGGTACACAAGATAAATAGTGCAGTAGCAGAGTAATAGAAAATAACAGTTCAATAATTTTCCTAACAACAAATAAAATATAAACACAGAAAACAAATATTTTGCTGATCACTTCGTTAAAAGTAAAATCATCAAAGTAAACCACTATAAATTCGCCTTTGCTTAGTTATTTTTCCTCTTAGAATTGTTTGTTTTGTTTATGCCCCATGGTGCATACATTAGCGTATTACCTTAGTTATAAACTATGTTCAAAATCTCCATTAATACACTACTAAAGTTTATGAGACAATATCGAACCTCGAGTCGTAATATTGAGAAATTGCAGTCTGATTTCTCAGTTAAAAACAGGTGGACCGATTGAGCTTAAATTTACAAAAGTAATAAATGAAATGAAGTCTATATACATATATTACATATTTTTTTTGTGCCGATTTTCTCTTTCAGGTCTAATTCATTGTGTATAAATAACACCTCCGAGTTGTATACAAAACTTTAAAGATTTTATCTTCAATATGGGCGAGCATTCACACACACACACACACACACACACACACACACACACACACAAACAAACAAACACACACACAAACACAAGCGAGTTCGCGTGCGATCAGTAACAACTTAGAAACATGTTGTGCGCATGTGCCATAACAGATAATGAGAATGAAAAATCATTGCTGTTGTACAGACCTTTCCTGAATGAATTAGGTTAAGATCAGAAAAAAAAACTACTCCACAAGTTTCTATATAAGGAAAATAGATGTATACTTTATTATCCAATTTCTTACCCAGTACTCTTTGAATTTAGCATATTGTCACCCATGGTATCGGTTGATGCCTTCTGTGTATTACTGAAATGAAGCGTACGATCTATTAACATATATTTATACATGACCCTTTTTGTAGGAAACGAGGTGTGTCACTCGTAGGCGGCCAAGTAAAGTAGGTGAGTAAAGGTAGGTCTACTTAAATCTCGTCTAACTTACCTGTAACAACTAGCCAGAAACTGTTTGTTTTATTCATAACAGTGATGTATGCAATCTCTCACTATCTGAATTCACCCCATCCCCTGTCACTTCCCCTCATCAGCAGCGTCCCGTCCTCTTCCAATATCATGTACGTATTTTCTTTGCAGCATTCCAGTGTTGATTTCAGATCTCATTTAAGCATCGTTTTCTTTATTATAGCTAATTTCAAGGCGAGCAATTTGTATCGAAACTTTAGATTAATTGTGGATGAAACGTATTGCAGAGAAAGGTCTAAACTAAATTTTATCTATTGAAATAGAGACTCGTGGGTTAAAAGGTCGTGACCAATGATGTAGGTAACGTCTTTACAAGGATGTCGAGGGAACGTGGTCATCATCAGCTCGCACACTACTGGCATACTTATCAAGATCAACACAAAAGCTACTTAGCTGACATCTTTATGATTCTTATTACATGTACTCGACGCGATCTTGATGTTAAAAAAAACAATAATCTTAAGGAAAAAGTCATACAGAGTGACAAAAATACCTCAGATTACCCACATCACCCTTTCTGACATTGGACCCTCCCTGTCATACTATATAAGACACAAGGTAATCTGAGGTATTATTGTCACTATATGACTTTTCCCTTGAGATTTTTTTTTTAACATCAAGCTCGTGTCGAGTACCTATGATCTTTATCAGGGTATTTTGTTCTTCTTTCACTGTGTATGTTTGGTCTTCTTCCACTCTGCATGTTTGGTCTTCTTTCACTTTGTACGTTTGGTCTTCTTTCACTCTATATGTTTGGCCTATATATTTCTTAATTTAGGTTTTTACCTATAGTTGATCGGTTGCCATTTTAAACTATCCGTTCGAGTATATCTTCTCGGTCGTATTTGTTTAATGGGCTGGCATGTAGGTGAATCATATAGTTTATACATAGTTCATGTTCGTAAAAGAGCATTCACTGGAATGTGGTTAGAGATAAATGTATCGCTTCATACGCAAAAGCGTAATTTACACAGGATGTGTTTGTGCTCCTATTGTATTGTTATTTCTTTCAAGATACTTTATATATATATATATATATATATATATATATATATATATATATATATATATATATATATATATATATATATATATATATATATATATATATAGAGAGAGAGAGAGAGAGAGAGAGAGAGAGAGAGAGAGAGAGAGAGAGAGAGTTGTCATATAAATCATAGAATTATAATTCGTTACTTACTAAAACCGAGTCTGCGTGTTACGGCACCCTTTGCCTTGCCTAAGCGCGCCAAGTCCCATGCCCTATAAACAAAATAAACATTGTCCAAAATAAGGATTGAACTTCATAAATATAGCCAACACCCTATGCCACCAAGTAACTGACTCTCCTCTTACTATTCAGTGTAGCCATCACCCTATGACACCAAGTACCTGACTATCCTCTTACTATTCGGTGTAGCCAACACCCTATGTCACCAAGTAACTGACTCTGCTCTTGCTATTTAGTGTATCCAACACCCTATGCCACCAAGTAACTGACTCTTCTCTTACTATTTGGTATAGCCAACACCCTATGCCACCAAGTAACTGACTCTGTTCTTGCTATTCAGTGTAGCCAATAACCTATGCCACCAAGTACATGACTCTCCTCTTACTATTCAGGGTAGCCAACACCCTATACCACCAAGTAACTGACTCTCCTCTTACTATTCAGTGTAGCCAACGCCCTATGACACCAAGTAACTGACTCTCCTCTTACTATTCAGTGTAGCAAACACCCTATGCCACCAAGTACCTGACTCTCCTCTTACTATTCAGTGTAGCCAACACCCTATGCCACCAAGTACCTGACTCTCCTCTTACTATTCAGTGAAGCCAACACCCTATGCCACCAAGTACCTGACTCTCCTCTTACTATTCAGTGTAGCCAACGCCCTATACCACCAAGAAACTGACTCTCCTCTTACTATTCAGTGTAGCCAACACCCTATGACACCAAGTAACTGACCATCCTCTTACTATTCAGTGTAGCCAACGCCCTATGCCACCAAGTAACTGACTCTCCTCTTATTATTTAGCGTAACCAACACCCTACAACACCAAATAACTGACTCTCCTCTTACTATTCAGTGTAGCCAACACCCTATGCCACCAAGTAACTGGCTCTCCTCTTATTATTCAGTGTAGCCAACACCCTGTGCCACCAGGTAACTGACTCTCCTCTTACTATTCATTGTAGCCAACACTCTATGCCACCAAGTAATTGACTCTCCTCTTACTATTCAGTGTAGCCAACACTCTATGCCACTATGAAACTGACTTTCCTCTTACTATTCAGTGTAGCCAACACCCTATGCCACTAAGTAATTGACTCTACTCTTACTATTCAGTGTAGCCAACACCCTATGCCACCAAGTACCTGACTCTCCTCTTACTATTAAGTGTAGCTAACACCCTATGCCACCAAGTACCTGACTCTCCTCTTACTATTCAGTGTAGCCAACGCCCTATACCACCAAGTAACTGACTCTCCTCTAACTATTCAGTGTAGCCAACACTCT